ACAGTGTGTTACAGTGTGTTACAGTATGTTACAGTGTGTTACAGTATGTTACAGTGTGTTACAGTGTGTTACAGTATGTTACAGTGTGTTACAGTGTGTTACAGTATTTATGTTAGTCTGTTAGAGCACGTTACAGTATTTATGTTAGTGTGTTACAGTCTGTTACAGTACGTTACAGTATTTATGTTGGTGTGTTACAGTGTGTTAGTCTGTTACAGTGTGTTACAGTATGTTACAGTATTTATGTTACAGTCTGTTACAGTGTGTTACAGTCTGTTACAGTGTGTTACAGTGTGTTACAGTATGTTAGTGTGTTACAGTGTGTTAAAGTACGTTACAGTATTTATGTTACAGTGTGTTACAGTCTGTTACAGTGTGTTACAGTGTGTTACAGTATGTTACAGTACGTTACAGTACGTTACAGTATTTATGTTAGTCTATTACAGTATGTTACAGTGTGTTACAGTATTTTACAGTACGTTACAGTATTTATGTTAGTCTGTTACAGTATGTTACAGTGTGTTACAGTAAGGTACAGTATTTATGTTAGTCTGTTACAGCACGTTACAGTATTTATGTTAGTCTGTTACAGTATGTTACAGTGTGTTACAGTATGTTACAGTGTGTTACAGTGTGTTACAGTATGTTACAGTGTGTTACAGTATGTTACAGTGTGTTACAGTAAGGTACAGTATTTACGTTAGTCTGTTACAGCACGTTACAGTATTTATGTTAGTGTGTTACAGTCTGTTAGAGTACATTACAGTATTTATGTTAGTGTGTTACAGTGTGTTACAGTATGTTACAGTATGTTACAGTATTTATGTTACAGTCTGTTACAGTGTGTTACAGTCTGTTACAGTGTGTTACAGTGTGTTACAGTATGTTACAGTATGTTACAGTCTGTTACAGTCTGTTACAGTATGTTACAGTACGTTACAGTACGTTACAGTATTTATGTTAGTCTATTACAGTATGTTACAGTGTGTTACAGTATTTTACAGTACGTTACAGTATTTATGTTAGTCTATTACAGTATGTTACAGTGTGTTACAGTATTTATGTTAGTCTGTTACAGTCTGTTACAGTGTGTTACAGTCTGTTACAGTGTGTTACAGTGTGTTACAGTATGTTACAGTCTGTTACAGTCTGTTACAGTCTGTTACAGTCTGTTACAGTGTGTTACAGTCTGTTACAGTGTGTTACAGTGTGTTACAGTATGTTACAGTCTGTTACAGTGTGTTACNAAATAATAGTTATGGGCAGGTTACAATATAAAAATGTTTGTTATAATCATGTCTTGTGATTATTTGACAGGAGTTATTATTATTTTGATCCATACATTGGTAATGTGTGACTGGGCCTTGTGTCACTTTATGTTCAACATACTGGGCCCTGAGGTCAGAAAGGTTAAGAAGCCCTGCTTTAAACTGAATGTCTTGTGTGTTTCTGTGTGTTTTAGAATCAGTGATGAAGCAAGGCAGAGCTGAAGAGTGAGTGTTACCTCTCCATCAGGTCCAATGGCACTGGTACCTTCACCGTCTCCATCCACCTTCTRCATACAGAGCAAACACAACATTTACACTTTATACCACAGCTTTGATTGAACAGCAGCTGTGCTGAAACTATCACAACAACTCAGTGTCTTTGATTATAAATCAGATGAACACTGAGTGTTTCTGAAGTTAAACAGACTGGACTGTTTGATCGAAGGGTCAGACTCTGATATTACAACACAAACATGTTTAAAAACTGTTCAATCTGAACAAAGTAAAACAACCTTCATACCTTCTTTCTCTTCTTCCTCTTCTTCTTGTCCTTGGCAGCCTGAGCAGCTTTGTGTTCGTACACCAGAGAGGTGAGGTTGGCCACGTATTCATCAGTTTGTTGCAGTAAATAGGCCAGACGCTTGTCCTTTTTCTGGTCAATGAGTTTCCTGTAGCCTTCTTCATCTTCTGCCTGTGAGAGGAAGAGGAGTGTTCATCACACAGAGCAGGTCACAGCTGGCTCACAGACACCAGGACACCAGGTTCCCCCTGACACTGAAGACACCTGTGCTTCTGCTTCTGGTTCTGCACCAGTCTCAGCTGTGTGGCACAGTGGCAAACAGAAAGCCTTCAGGCATTTGTAAATAAAAGTTAGAAAATAAATGTGATGCTTTAAAAACAACTWCAGCTCTGGAAAACATCTATTTTCCATGTAAACATTGGAGCTGATGAAACCGTTGGTACCATCAGATTAGTTCTTCAGTTGTGTGTCTCAGTGTTTCAGGAGAACTTATCAGTCACCAGGTGTGTCTTATTGTAAGATCTTCTTCAGATATGAACAACCCTCACCAGTGCTCCAGACCTGTGGTGTGGTTTACCTGCAGTCAGTCTGCTGTTAACAGATGGATGTGCTTCATTAAGAACTTTATATTTCATTAGTTTGAAGATATTTAGAGTTGAAAATAAATCACACTCCATAATTAAGCTATTCTGTTTGAATTATAATTATAATTTTAAATGTAACTAACAACATAAATAGGCTAAATTAAATAGAATTGGTTATGAATGCTGTTGTATAAAACTACAATATTAATATATTTATTTCATTCCTCAGCTTCAGCAGGTCTGACCTGCTAAAAATGACAGATTTTCTTTTCTGGATCTCTGACAGCAGGACTTCAGTCTCTGAACTCGTAAAGTTTTCTTTTTTASTTTTTGCTGTCATTTTCATGAATGGACACTTCCTGGCATCTGAGGCAGGAAACATAGCCTTATATTGTGGTTTTGGGGGGGTAATTATGCTAATCTGATAGAAGAGTTTGTTGAATCTGACGTGACATGTTCGTACGAACCCTTTGTACGAACAAAAGTAAGAGAAATTTAGAATAAGAATATGAACACATTCTTACATGAGGCCCAATGAACCAAAGCATACACTGAAAACTACTCCAGCATAGAGCTCACAAGTGTTCAGCTCGTTTGGGGAGTAGGCGGAGCTTAAAGGTCAGAATACAAATAAAACKGTAGCCTCTGTAAACTGGGTCCTCAAGGCTTTAACTCCCAAAAACCAAGAGAATGAAGGCACACTGAGTGTTTATGACAGGTGTATGACGCTGCCACTGGTGCTATAATGGTTAGTCATCCAGGTGGAACAGGAAACAGGAAGTTGGTCTGATGTTTGGAGCAGCAATAAGCTAAAGATTTAGATGGGACAAGCAGAACCAGAAAAGGAAAAGGGGCGATGTTCAAATATTTGAATAAAGATATAAAAACACTAACCATCAGTCTATAAACATGTTCTTACCATGAGCCTCCTCATCCTCTCCTTTTCAATCCTCTCCGTCTCCTTCTTCTGCTCTCGCTCAGTGTTGGTGTGCCAGTTAGCAACAGCTCTGGTGATTTTCTGGATTTTACCGGACACTGAGCGGTGGTACTCCTTGAAGTCTTTAGCATGCTGAAGAATGCTGTTCAGATATTCCTAAAACAAGAAGCAAAGAGCACCATTTGTCACATCTTATTGTAGTGTGAATTGTAGAAAACACAGTGAAACCTTCTGCTACCTGATGTTTCTGTCTGCGTTTCTTCTCCTGCTCCAGTTTCTGCTGCTTCTCCAGCTTCTCCGTCATGCGAGCCTCCCTCAGAGTTTGTCTCTTGCTGCGCCGGTAGGCCTTGGAGTTCAGCGCCGTCTCCAGGGTGGTGTCCCGTCTCATACAGGCCACCACGTCCTGCCTCAGCTGGACACAGCAAGGAGTCACATTAAAGTCCCACTGTTAGGTAGGTCTACACAGTACGTAAGGTTTTACACCACTCAGAGCACCTTCTGCTTTCCTTTCAGACAGTTAGTGATGCTACAGACYGTACATCCACAACTCTTTAAGSTTACAGGGAAGTCTGGATGTCTAGAAGAAGGGCTGGATTAGGACTTCTGCACAGGACAGTATATGACTCCTCCTCTACATATTGGTCTCGTTGTCACAGCTGAGTGACAGAAGYTGCATCAGTCAGCTGGCAGAGCTGACAGGACCTCCTCTACGACACAAGTTGACCTGATCCTCACCTGCTCTGTGTGAAGAGCTCTGACTGTCTGAAGTTCTTCATCCTGTGTGTTCAGAGCTGCAACCAACCATTATTTTAATAATCCATTAATCTGTCGACTGTTTTTTAGATTAATCCATTAATCGGCCAAATCATTAAAACACTTAATTACATAAATATGAGTAGATATAAATTCATTTAATTCCTGTATAAATTAGGAATGCAAGTTATTGATTAATTAATTAATCTGAAGTTGATTTATCTTATAGATAGACTAACAGTTAATTAATAAGCAGCCATTTTCTTAAAAACCAGAGTTTTTATTGCATCAAGAGGGTCTTTTCATAAAATGAAGGAATTCTTAAATAATACGTTAAATAAAACAGAAGCACATCATAAATATTTTCACAGTTGATTTTGCAGCTGTGTTAAACTCTGACTGGAAAAAATAAACCCAAAAATGTGGATTTCTCATGCATTAATAAACTTGGTTATAGATATAAAACATAACAAAACAAAAATTTAGTAGGTTGCTGAATGAGGAAAACAGATAAAACTAATAAAATGTGATTTTTTTTAGATGTAAAACTATTATTAATTTATTATTATTATTAGAATTTATTTGCATTTAGATTTTATGATTTTTCTCTAATTATTTACGTTTTGCTTCCTTCTGGTTCCGTCTGACTGAATGACCCTGTTCTGAAGCAGCCCCCCATCCCTCCTCCCCTCCCCTACTGAGTCAGACCAGGAGTTCTGCTGCGTCTTTTTTTTCCCTTCGTCTTGAACCTTTTTGCTGTTTATCAAATAACTTTGAGCCTCGGTCAGAAAAAAAGACGAGGGTTT